GTTTCAGCCTGATCCCCAACATCCCCCGAGGGATGTAGTAATTTGCAAAGTGGCAGGCAGCTGGGTGCCACGCCACTCCTGCTCATCCCAGCCCTGTTGCACCTGCCTTCACCACCACTCAGTAGCATGCTGACGCGGAGGCGGGAGAGGCTCATGCTGCCGCAGCTGCAGTCACCAGCCGTGAGCCCAGTGTCTGGCGCCCACCAGTCAGCTGAGCGGCGCTTCCACTGTGGGAGCGCACTGACCACCAGGGGACAGCTCCAACATTGAGCGTCTGACCCCTGGTGGTCAGTGCTTGTCATAGTGACCAGTTGACCAGTTGTTCCGTCACTTAGGCTTGATAGATAGATAGATAGATTTATTTCTGAAGTGACAAATTTTAGAAATGCGGAACAGCTTACTGGGGAAGTGAGGAGACAGCAGGAAGAAGGTTAGTGTGCCTATAAAAGGGAACACTGGGGGTTCCTTGTGGTGACAGGCCGTTCTGTATCTTAACTGTGGTGGTGAATACATATACCTAGCTACTCATGTTATAAAACTGGATAGAACCAAACACACACTCACACACAGAAATGAGAACAAGAAAAACTAGGGAAATCTGAATAATCTGTGGATTGCATCAATGTCAATATCCTGGTCATGATACTCTACTATTCAATTTTGTAAGATGTTACCATTGGGTGAAGGGTACATGGAATATGCTATTTCTTATAACTGTATGTGAATCTAAACTATAAAATTAAGGTTAAAAACAGAAGGCCACAATGTTATTCAATTATATCTCAATTTTATTTTAAATCCAGCTAAAAAATCAAAAGGCCCTGTTTATATGGAAATCTTCCTCAATTCTTTCTCCTTTGCTGTCACATTTAAACCCATCTCTGCGTGCTCTTTATATTCAAGGTGAGAAGCCTCAATTCTGCCCTCAGGTAATTTATAATTCTGTGAAATAGGACAAGAATCCTCCCCCCCCCAAAAAAAAAAAACATAATGCAAAGTAGATTATTTAGAATATTAAATGCCACAAGAGAGACATAACAGATGAATGGATAAATGTGTCATATCCATATAATGGAATATTATTCAACCACAAAAATGTATGCAAATCTGCACTGGCCAGTTTTCTCAGTGGTTAGAATGTCAGCCCGTGGACCAAAGGGTCATGGGTTTGATTCCCAAAGGGATGTACCTGGTTTGCAGGTTGCAGGCACATGCAGGAGGCAATCAATCCATGTGTCTCTCTCATGTCAATTTCTCTTCCTTTCCCTCCTTCTCACCCTTCCACCTCTGCTCCCTCCCCCCTCCCTCCCTTCTACTCTCTCTAAAAATTAATGAAAAAAAATATCCTAGGGTGAGAATTTTTTTCTTTTTCTTTTTTTTTAATTAATTTATTTATTTTTTATTGCTTAAAGTATTACAAAGGGTATTACATATGTCTCCTTTTTTCCCCCGCTCTTGACAATCCCCTGGCCTCCCCTACTCCCCAGTGTCTTATGTCCATTGGTTATGCTTATATGCATGCATATAAGTCTTTGGTTGATCTCTTACCCCCTCAAAATTTTTAAAGGCTTAGAATTTTTTTTTAAATATGGCAATCTGATACATGCTGCAACTTGGATGAATTCTGAAAATACCAGTATTATGCAAAGTATCTGATACATTCTACAACTTGGATGAACACTGAAAATACTATGCTAAGTGAAATAAGCCAGAATCACACAAGTACAAATACTGTATGATTCCACTTATATGAAATATCTGGAATAGGCAAATTCATAGAGGCAGAAAATAGATAAGAGGTGCCCAGGGGCTAAGGAGAGAGCAGAACAGGAGTTATTGTTTAATGGTTACAGGATTTCTATTTGGAGTGATGAAAAGGTTTGGAAATGGTGATGATTGCACAACACTGTGAATATACTTAATGCCACTGAGTTGTACACTTAAATTAGTTTAAATACATACTGTATGTTATATTTTGCTACAATAAAAAGAAGAGAATTTCATAGCAGCTTAATTAATATTAGCCCAAACCTGAAAAGCCCAGATGTTAATCAGTAGGAGAGTGGATGAGCAAACTGTGATACTATGCAACACTACTCAGCAATAACAACAAAATAGTAATGATAAATCTCAAAATATTATGCTGAATGAGAGCAAAAGTATACAAACTATATGATTCCATTTATATGAAGTAAAACAAGCAAAATAAATCAGAATAGTGGTACTTCTGTGTGTGTGCTGGGAGCAGAGACTGACTGGAAAGAGAAATAAAAGAACTTTCTGGGGGGATAGAAATGCTCTGTATCTTGAGAGGTTACACAGGTAAATGCACTTGTCAGACCTCATCAAAGCGTGGACTAAGATCTGTGCACTTCGCTTATGTAAGAAATAAAAGAATCACAAACAATACTGAACTCTAGAGAAACCAAGATGGTGGCATAGGTAAACACCGGAAATTGCTGCCTCCCACAACCACTTCAAAAATACAACTAAAAGACAAAACGAACATCATCCAGAACCACAGGAAGGCTGGCTGAGTGGAAATTCTACAACTAGAAGGAAAGAGAAAGGCACACTGAGACTCAGTGAAGGTGCGGCAGTAAAGTGCAGAGGTACGGAGACGCGTGGAAAGGGCTGGCAACTGAGGACGCAGCGCACGTGGAAAGGGCTGGGAGCTGAGGACATGGTTGTCTTTTTCAATCGGGAGGGAATCTCAAGCTCCCGACTGTTCTGAACTCCAGTTCCAGGCGAGTCTCTGGGGACCCAGACTCATACAGAAGAAACTGGACTGTCTGGCATCGGTTGGAACTCGAGGGCGGCTTTCTCTCAGAGGTGACTGCAGCGATTACTGGGACACTGAGAAGTGGGGCCTCTTAGGGCAGGACTGAGGAGCAGCCATAGCTGTTTGCTCCGCCGTGTTGATCCCCTAAAACCCCGCCCCACACAAGCTGTGCACAGAGGCTTTTGCATATGAAAGGCCTGGCCCTTTGCAATCTGAAAACTACCTAACAAACTGCAGCTGGGTCAGAGAGACTCAGAACTTCCAAAAGAAGGCTCAAGGCCCCACAGCAGCTTCCACTGCTTCACAGCTGGGCCCCTGCTGGGTAGCCTCAGGCAGAGGCTAAATTAGCACCTCCTTAGAGATCCAAGAGCCAGGGAACCCAGTGGTCAGAGTGGGACCATCCAGATTTCAACTCCTCAGATCCATAAGGAACACACTCAGGGGGCAGACTCAGTGAGCACCAAAGCCCCACTGAAGCAAGTCTTGCACCAGAAGGGTGTCTCCAGCACAGAAGTTCTCCCACTGCAGACACAGCTGATTCTCACAGCCAATTGGCCTGGAGGTCAATTCCTCCCAGTGATACCTACAACAATCAAGGCTTAACTACAACAAGACTGTGCACAAAACCCACAAAGGGGTGCACCAAGAGTGTCCACCTCAGGTAATTGGGGAGGCTGAGCTACTGAGCCCTATACGACACCTAGCACACAAAGCCACTCTATCAACACAGGGAAGCATAAAAAATGTGGAGACAAAGAAACAGGTCACAAATGACAGAAATGGAGGAAAGCAAACTACTGGATATAGAGTTCAAAACCACACTTATAAGGTTTTTCAAGAATTTTCTAGAAACTGCCGATAAATTTAGTAAGACCCTCAATAAGTCTAGTGAGACCGCCAATAAACTTAGTGAGACCCTCAAGAAATCTAGTGAGACCCTCGAGGATATGAAAAAGGACCAACTAGAAATTAAGCACACACTTACTGAAATAAAGAATATTATACAGAGTTCCAACAGCAGACTAGAGGATCGCAAGAATCAAGTCAAAGATTTGAAATGCGAAGAAGCAAAAATCACCCAACCGGAAAAGCAAAAAAGAATCCAAAAATATGAAGATAGTCTAAGGAGCCTCTGGGACAACTTCAAGCGAACCAACATCCGAATTATAGGGATGCCAGAAGAAGAGAGAGAGCAAGATATTGAAAACCTATTTGAAGAAATAATGACAGAAAACTTCCCCTACCTGGTGAAAGAAATAGACTTACACGTCCAGCAAGCGCAGAGAACCCCAAACAAAAGGAATCCAAAGAGGACCACACCAAGACACATCATAATTAAAATGCCAAGAGCAAAAGACAAAGAGTAAATCCTAAAAGCAGCAAGAGAAAAACAGTCAGTTACCTACAAGGAAGTACCCATACAATTGTCAGCTGATTTCTCAAAAGAAACTATGCAGGCCAGAAGGGAGTAGCAAGAAATATTCAAAGTGATGAATACCAAGAACCTACAACCAAGATTACTTTACCCAGCAAAGCTATCATTCAGAATTGAAGGTCAGATAAAGAGCTTCACAGATAAGGAAAAGCTAAAGGAGTTCATCACCACTAAACCAGTATTATATGAAATGCTGAAAGGTATTCTTTAAGAAGAGGAAGAAGAAGAAAAAGGTAAAGATACAAATTATGAACAACAAATACACATCTATCAACAAGTGAATCTAAAAATCAAGTGAATAAATAATCTGATGAACAGAACAAACTGGTGAATATAATAGAATCAGGGGCATATAAAGGGAGTGGACTGACTATTCGGGGGGGGGGGGGGGGGTATGGTAAGAGACTGGAGAAAAATCGTACACCTATGGATGAGGACAGTGGGGGGGAGGGGGGGAAGGCCAGAGGGTGAGGTGAGAACCAGGTGGAGGGGAGCTATGGGGGGGAAAAAAGAGGAACAACTATAATAATCTGAACAATAAAGATTTAATTAAAAAAGAATACTGAACTCTAATGATATGCTGAACTGTTTAGGGGTGAAATATACTTTAAATTGCAACAAGAATTATGGACTGAGGGATGGACAGGTTGATAAATGTGATAAAGCAAATACAGCGAAGTGTTAATAATCATAAAATATAGGTGATGGGTACATAGGTGTTCACCATATAATTATTTCAAGTATGAAAATATTGATAATAAAATGTTTGGAAAATATACATACCAACAAAACAGTTGTTTCTCTTCTTCTCAAGAACTTGGCTTATATTTCTAATGCTACAGAGTGAGAATTTATTGTTGTTCAGTTTGTCCCCAGATGTTGCTCTTGCATACATGATGTAATTGCCATTTTCTTTTTGTCCCAAATTCTTAGATTCTCCTGGAGTGCACTCTGTTCCAGAATCATGCTGTCGAACAGAATACAGAGTTACATAAACAGGGAAGTAAAATAAGGTTTTCAGGTCATCTGATTAAATGTAATTTTTTCATCAGAAGAACAATGAAAGCTTGTAGACTCTCCTTTAGAAAAGATCTTACAATTGTTTTAGACTGTGAGATGGAAAACAATCTGCTCTTTTAAGGCTACTATGTTAGAAGGGAAAGAAAAATCAGTGAAGCTCTAACCACAACTTATATAGCTTTGTAAGTAGGTAGCAGAATGGAGGACAAATTATCATAAAAGTCTATTAAAAATTAGTTCACCTACTTTTAAAACTAGTAGGAGGAATATAAACTACTTAAAAACTACTAAATATTCATTAAAATACATGTTAGGGCCAGTTCAGAAAGGACAGAATGGGGAAAAACAGGAAACAAAAGAGAATGGTATGGGGTTAAGTACATACAGTACAGGCATCTAAGAGAGTTGAGAATTTACTATTATGTAAGAAAGGTAAGTAAATGCTGAGTAGGAATAGAAACACAATGATCCATTTTTAAATACAAATTAAGAAAAGCCTCGCCCTGACCAGTTTGGCTCAGTGGCTAGAGCGTCAGCCTGTGGACTGAGGAGTCCCAGGTTCGATTCTGGTCAAGGGCGTGTGTCTTGTTTGCGGGCACATCCCCAATGGGGGGTGTGCAGGAGGCAGCTGATCGATGTTTCTCACTCATGGATGTTCTAACTCTCTATCCCTCTGCCTTCCTCTCTGTAAAAAATCAATAAAATATATTTT